TATGAAACTGGAGAAACCCCAACTAGGAAAAAACTCCGGGACCAAGCCAGTTACCTCCACTATAGACAATACGAAATGAGTTACAATCAGATGCTATCTAGCCAAGTTCACTAGACTTCCCGATCTATTTCCTGCTAACTCCAATGTCTACACCAAGACCTACTCCAAGGTCTGCTCCAAGATCTTCTGCAATTGTCTCTTCCAAGTGAAATTCCAAAAACCTGCTCCAAGACCTTGTGCTCTTCCCGCGCTTGTAGTCCAAAATCTCTCAACCTCCAGCAGCATTTGAAATTCAACTCAGAAAGTACCTTCCTATAACCAATAGGAAGTAGGTGCTGTTTCGGATTCAATGAGTTTGATGTTTTTTCCAAATATATGGTTGTATAAAATCAAGAGTGAAATGATGAAATTAATGTATGAATAAGCTCTTGAATATGTTATATTGAAGAGGCACAATGAACAACCACATTTATTTTCGTGCATAGGCTTGGATATTTATAGGAGAGGGTAATTAGGTTGAATAAGTAGAAAAAATATTTCAAAACAGCAAACTAGGGTTTTTCGGATTGATTGTCGCTCAAACGAGGGTTCAGGGACAGATACGTGATAGGCATTCTATTTTTGTAGCTCGAGCGCCAACCGGGCGAGAAGCTAGCAAAAATGCGGTGCCGTGTTTTTCCTCTTCTCATACATGAACCCTAGACCTCATAACCTAATTTATACAAATTGAACCCTAGGTCATTGACTTTTACAATACGTTACAAATTAGTCATTTGTCCACAGAATTGCCAACACTAAAAACCTAACAAACTCCCCATTTAATATTATGTGACAAAACTATACAATAAGTTAAGGAAAACTAAATACAAAATCTAAACTACCCAAGTTTCATCAAACTAATGTCTCTTACATTCCTTGTTAAAGATGTTTCTTGAAATTCACAATTCAAATACCAGTTTAAAAGCACGTGATATAGGTAATAATAAAATCATTAAACACGTGATACCCACACTAGCTAGAATGAGACGTAACAATAATGTTAATCCAAACACCAACAAAAACATTAGCATCACACAAACATCAAAAACTCAAACTTTTAGGTAGATATGGTATAGAATGCAATGCAATCAACAAATCTCCCCATATCACTCTACTTTACCGTAAAAAATTTTAAAAATTTAAAATTCTCCCATTCACAACATTTACTCTACTCTTCCCATTTTTGTCAAAAATGACGAATGGACCGATAATTAAAAAATCACAAATATGCTTTTTTCTCCATATTTTTTAACATTAACATATAATAACTCAAAAGTGTTGTTGTTACAATGCACAAGCATAAGCAATGTACAGTATACCTTCCTACATACTTAGTTCAAGTTAACATGGAGTAAATTGTAGAAGTGACCCATGTGTATAAAGTGTCACTAATCCTTTGTAATAGGACTCCAAACCTTAATTTTATGAGAAATGGCATGCTAAACATCATTACCAATAAGTGTATTCCTCTACATACGGAAGTCAAACATTTTAAAGCACACTAGCACCAATAAAAAAAAGCTCATTTTGTATGGATCTGAATTTGAGCATATTTTATTTTCATATCTTTCAATATTTTAAGCTCATTATTGTTTTTTCACATCTTAAGTGCAGGCCCTTCTCATTAAGCGACTAAAATGACCATTGTAGTGAGTTTTAGGCCGGTTAACCCAAGTTAGTTGGCCATATGCACCAGGCTATGAGAAACCCTGCAGGCTTAATTGTTCGAGACAAATAGGCTTCGAAGAAGAACAAAAGATATTGAGCTTTGTATTACCAGGGATAAACTTGAGCTTAGGTATAATAAATAAGGTCAATTCATATTCAAAATCAACTTATTAACATTTGATTACCATCCTAAATCTCACACACGAGTTGAGCCCTACTAACAATATCATAGTGTGTGTAGTGCAGATAGTACATGAAGACACTCATACTAAGTACTCCATAATAACCTAAGCCAGCAATGAAAACTATGTTACAGATCATAGATTAAATCCATGCTTGATCACAACAAACAAATTCAAGTATAATATATATTATACTGTAAAAAAAATTTCGACCCATTTTTTTTTATTTTTCAAGTTTCCAATTTTTTTTGTTGTTTTCATTTTAAAGCATGAATGCACCAAGTACAAAAAAAATGTCACACACACAAAAAATAAAAATAAAAAATATGCACAAGTTTTCTATTTAGAAAGCAAATAAACAAATATGATGCATACATAAATGTCACATAATGATAAAGTACGTGCATGCACTAAAAATACCTAATCAGTTAGGTATGCAAATGCTCTTACATTTAAAAGCACTATGATCTATTTCAAAATTTTTCAGATCAATTTTCTTCACCCAAACTTGTCTAGTGACAGGAATATTCCCATTCATCTGTGTCATTAACTTGGTCATCGACTCACCTAATTAGTAAGAAAGTCGATCAGACCAACAAACTCCCCATTCTTATTTCCATTTAAGTTCTGGTTTCTATTTCTGTTTAGGAAATGACGACACCTAGGCCTTATGGATCCTAGCTCACCGTAATGAAAACATGTAGGGATAAAACTAGGACCAAAGTTATGAGATTGTTGATATATATTCCTAAGTTGGCAGGTCATATGTTGTCTAGTAGGTTTTTGTCCTACATATCCCTTATTCTTAGATTCAAGGTTAGGCACATGTTTAAGCTGGTCAGTACCAGGGAAAAATGTGGTCTTGGACGTACTAACAACATCATGATCATTATTATTATATCCTAGACCTCCTTAATTACCGACAGGCTTACCCATTCCTAGAATGTTTGAGACTTGGAATGTTCTAAGTCACTCAGAAGATTTTTAACTTGGATTTCTAAGGTTTCCTTTTCAACTATCAACTCATTAGCTCTCCTAGAGGTCTTTTCTAGCTCTCTAGTGAGATTCCTAACTCGAGTATCTAAAGATTCATTCATAGATTTTAATTCACTCAGGGTAGAGGTAGATTCCTAAATGTAAGCTACGAGTTTCTCATTTTTCGACTCAAGTTCTGTAACTTTCGTCCTTAAGTCTATATTTTGTATTATAATCTTAATACTTTCTCATAGATTCTATCATAAGCTTCATGAATATCTCCCTCACTATCAGAATCTTCTTCTGAATTCTCACTACTACTTATGTTATCAACCTTCTCACTCATCTTATCAAATCATTTATAATTCTAGCTGTAAAGGCAATATAGTTTTCACTTTCCTCACGAGTGGATTTCTCACTCTGATTGTCCGAGTTAGACTCATCATCAGTGAGAGTAGCATTCATAGCCTTGGATTTTTCCTACTGCTAGGGTACTCACTCCTAACGTGGCCAAAACCTTGACATTATGACATCTCATAGATTGGGATCGCCTTCTAGACTTACTGAAATCACATCGTTTTCTTTCTTTAGGTTTCTTTTTATTCCTAAACATTTTTCAAATTTTGTTAGCAATGTATGCTAACTCCTATTCGTTAGGAGAATCTGAATAGGTAGATTCAAAATCTTCATCTCTAATGGTGTTCGAGGAAATTGACTTCTCAATCTTAGGTCTATCTAATGTAAGTTCATAAGTCTGGAGAGATCCAACTAACTCTTTAATCTTAATGGAATCTAAGTCCTTACTCTCTTCTATTACTGTGACTTTAGGTCTAGACCTTTCTGGTAGGGATCTAAGAATTTTTCTGACTATTTTAGGCTCCGGGATTCTCTCACCTAGGTTGAATTTAGAATTTACTTTGTCATTTAAGCTCGCATAGAATTCATCAAAGGTCTCATCTCTTTCATTCTAATATCTTCAAATCTAGTGGTCAGCATCTGCAACTTAGAGTTTTTAACCACCCGAGTTCCCTTATGTGTGGTTTATAGGATATCCCAAACCTCTTTGGCTACCTCACACATTGACACTAGCCTATACTCTTCCGAAGATATTGCCATAAATAGGGCATATAAGGATTTACTGTTCCAGTTCCATTCATCTAAGTATGCTCTAGACCAATAAGCAACAGGGGTGGGGATTACTTTATTATTATCCGTAGAACCTGGTGCAATCCAATCATTTATAACACTAAGCCAGATACGCTCGCCCATAAATTTTAGAAAGGCTCCCATCCTAACCTTCCAGTATGCATAATTATTACCATCAAAATATAGCAAGATGGATAATGAATTACTCATCTAGATAATATGGGTCAAGGAATGAATTTGGGCTCTGATACCAATTGAAATATCGGGTGTCGCACTGGATACCACTTAACAGTTCACGGATTACCAACTTAACGGTTTTTTAAATTACCAAATAGTTGTTACTGATCCGTTTTTGTTTTAACCCTACGTGACGAATTAATCAATCAAAAGCAACAAGTCACTTTTAATTATTTCTAGATGATTAAGCATAAGGGTGGGCAAAAACCCGACCAACCCGCCCAAACCGCCCAAACCGACCCAAACAGACCGGTTTGGGTCGGTTTTTTTTTTTATTTGGTTGGGTTCGGTTTTTGGATGATGAAGGTGGGTCGGGTTGGGTCGGTTCGCGGGTTGACACACCAAACCGACCCAAACCTGCCCGACCCGACCAGCTTAATTAAAAAAAAACTCCAAATGTCATTAAAAGGCGACACAAAAGTCAAAGCAAAGTAGCAAACAAAAAAAAACCCTAAGCGCCGATTCATCATTTTTCCTCCACAAACCCTTTTAACCGTTGCATCCAATTCATCATTTTTCAGTGAATTCAGTTCCATAATTAACAGCCCATTACAAAATTCCATATGGGTTTGCAAGAAAAGTAGGAATAGTAAGAAGAGAATGCACAATTGATGCTGCATTTTGCTCTCACCCATTACAAAATTCCATATGGGTTTGCAAGTAAAGTAGGAATAGTAAGAAGAGAAAGCTCATATGATGCTGCATTTTGCTCTCAACCAGTTTATTAAATCCCTTTTTTTCATTTCGTTGGAAATGGTTAGATATTACAAATTAATGGACAATAATGGTCTTGTTGTTGTTTGTGCTGCTGCATACTTCTTATTTTCCTCCAAGAAACCCAAAGGTTTGATCATTTATTGTGATCTATTGTATTAACACATAGATGTGAAAATGTCCATTTGAATATATTATGTTTCTGTATGTTTTTGGCTTTGTATTTAGGAATATAGTAGCAGTAATGAAGGTTATTTGTTCTTGACGTGTCCTATGACTTGTATGGAGTTTATGGGCAGTCTTTTTTATGTGGGTAGATTACGCTTTCGGCACTAAATCAATATGTATGCTAGGATGGAGTGTTAAGGAAGAACGAGAAGCTAAAATATTGCATTATATTGTCGAATACTGTGTGGAGCTGCAAATCAAACATGTCATTGAAGTTTAAATACAAACAAATGATGTTCTTATATAAATTGCTTACTGTATTGTTTTTTGGTTTTCCCCTTTTTAAATTTTATTTGCCTATAGGTGTGCTATATGCAGTTTCTGATTTGGGTAATTATTGTCTTGCATAAAGATTTATTCTTTAAAGTTCAATTGTTTTGTGGAGGATATAAACCTTTGTTTCATGGAATGTGTCTACTTGACAGTGTGCTTGGATCTCGAGAATTTTAAGGAGTTTAAGTTTGTGAAGAAAACGCAACTCAGCCATAATGTGGCAAAATTCAGATTTGAACTTCCTACACCCACATCTGTGTTGGGACTTCCTATTGGACATCACATTAGTTACAGGTTCACTTAATTACTTGGCCTTCTGCTCATTGTACTTTTTCGTTTCAATCTATATATAGTATGTAAATTTATTCTAATACTTGCAAGTAAAAGGGAAAATTAGGTTCTGTATTTAATATAGTCTAATTGTATGCGCATAATGTATAGGGGTAAAGATAGTCAAGGTGAAGAGGTCATTAAACTATACACTCCAACTACCTTGGATTCTGATGTTGGAATTGACTAAAAAGGTGTTGCGGAGCAATAGGTTATCCCAACCCGACCAACCCGACCCAACCCGACCGACATTTGGTTAGTTTGGGTTGGGTTGGGTTTCAATATTTACATGGGTTGGGTTGGGCTGGGTTGAGTTTATGCCAAACCAACCATGTTGGGTTGGGTTTGGGTTGGGGAAAAAACCGACCCAACCCAACCCACACCCACCCCTAATTAAGCATACTAGTCCAATTATTGTATGTTGAATTGTTGCAATAATAAGGAAATCAATAATAAACACCGATATGAAAACGGAGAAACCCCAACAAGGTAAAAACTTTGGGAGCAAGCTACTTACCTCCACTATAGACAATACGGAGTAAGTTACAGTCAGATGCTATTTAGGCAACTCCACTAGACTTCCCGATCTATTTCCTGCTAACTCTAATGTCTGCTCCAAGACCTACTTCAAGATCTTCTGCAATTGTCTCTTCCAAGTAGAATTCCAAGAACCTGCTCCAAGGCCTTGTGCTCTTCCTATTTTTATAGTCCAACCTCTCTCAATCTCGAGTAGGCTCTGAAGTTCAACTGAGAAAGTACCTTCCTATGACCAATATAAGGTAGGTGGTGTTTCGAATTCATTGGATTTGATGTTTTTCCCAAATATGTGGTTGTATAAAATCAATAGTGAAAGGATTAAATCAATGTATGAATAGGCTTTTGAATATGTTATAGAGAAAAGGCACAATGAACAACCACATTTATTTTCGTGCATGGTTTAGGTATTTATAGGATATGGTAATTATGTTGAATGAGCCGGAAAAATACTTCAAAATAGTAAACTAGGGTTTTTCGGATCGACATGTCGCTAAAGCAAGGGCTCGGTGACAGGCGAGCGACACACTGTAGCTCGAGCAAGAACTCCATGATAGGCGGGCGATAAGCATTCTATTTTTGTCGCTCAATCGCCAACTGGACGAGAAGCTAGTGAAAATGCGGTGCCATGTTTTTCCTCTTCTCATACTCGAACCCTAGACCTCATAACCTAATTTATACAAATTGTACCCTAGGTCCTTGACTTTTACAACACGTTACAAATTAGTCTTTTTGTCCTAAGCATTGCCAACACTAAAAACCTAATACAAATGTTGGGTACATTCATTAATATAGTTGCCCTTGAATCTAAGCTATATCTAGATTATTCCTATTGTACTCTTTACACTTTTGATTAATTAGTCGACATGTGTATCCCTACATTCAATTGGGTTTTCCATTTAGTATACTGGCAGTCCTATAAAGGTAAAGGAACTGTTACAGTAGGCAATGGTTCAAGTTTTGTAATTCAAAACACTGGTTCTACCTCTATCAATGCCAACAACTCGTCATATCAACTTAACCATGCTCCTCATTGTCTAAATGCATCTACCAATTTATTATCCATTAATATATTTTTTCCTTGATAGTGATTGCTGCTTTTTATAAACTGGAGTTGATTTTTGTGTAAAGGAGAAAAGGATAGGACGACTTTTACTTTAAGGGTTGGTTGAAGATGGTCTCTATCCAATTTCTGGCAACATGAGCATTTCAAATAACCTATGCTGCCTTACGGAAAAATTAGGAATAAAATTCTAGGTGGCCACTAGCATGATAGGCTAGGTCATCCCTCGAAATCCACCTTAGCTCGCCGATTCATTATATTCCTGTTTCACATGGAAATCGAGTATCGCTAACAATTAAAAGAAGGTTCAGACGATTATATAAGGAATGAAAACCTCTCGAGACAAAGTCCTAACAAGGGGTGCTTTATTTATGAAGATTACAATTTGTAAGAAGTGAAATGCCTCCAAGGGGCACAAGCACACTGAATTCGCAAAGTAATTGAAAGTTAACAAGAAGAAAGAAATGAAATTACATAATTCTCTATTTGAAAGTCATTTGATTCGCCCCTCTTCTATGTTCTCTTTTATACTCATTTGACAATTTCTCTTGTAGAACCGTTTGAAAATTGCTCACCGTCCTGTAACTACCCACTCTCTCCATAATGGATGACTTGCCAAGAAACTACTGTTTTCAACTGCTGCCATTACTCTCATCATTTAACTTCTTGCAATTGAGATTCTTGGATCGTGGAATGTGATAAGATTACCCATTAACTATTTCAATAACTGTTGCTTTAAAAAACAATCAAGACACTATACTCACCTAGATATTGGGTATCTCGTAGGCTTGAGGGACAATGGGCTCGCCCAGATCTTGGGTGTCTCACAGGCTTGAGCGATGATGGGCCTCCGCTATATAACTCCGTCTTGGATTTTTACGTAGTCTCGTTTGGGCCCATCCTTCGAATTTCCTAACAAGGCTTCATTCTTTGGACCATTTAATTGGGCCTCATTTTTGTTTGTCAACAATTACCCCACAATATGGCAAAATTAATATCAATTATTAATCTTATGCCATATTCATCCTTTATATTTTTCCGTGATGCTTGAAATCCCAGAAGGGCGGAGAATCCCAATCATTATTTCATTTGGCAGTGACCTTCTACGCCCAAAAAGTGCAATATCACGCAACTCTTATAAACTAAAGAACACGCCACTTCATCGTGCCATTTACCTACGTTATGTGTCGCCGCGTTTCCTATAAAGATCACTGTTCATCTTCTTGCTTCCCTACTACACTCCCAAAACCCTTGAGAAGATTATAACTTATAGTAAATGGCGACTTCAAAGAGCTCCTCAGATAACTCCCTTAGTTTTGAAGACTTCCAAAAGCTTCTCACCAAACCGTATATAAATCCAACTTCCCTTTCACCAGCCAATCCTGATCTCTACGAGTTTTACCTAGGCCTATCATTTAATGATGTTGATTCTGTTGGGCAAGTAGCGGTGGGCCAATTGTTCCTTTACACTCAAGATCCTCCTTTTCTGAACCCTTTTTGGCTAACGCCAATCCGTAAAAAAGGTATTCACACTTGGCCAGAACCGATACTACTTTCCGCCTTTGGCATGTACGTATGACAAATCATGGCCCTACCAAGGAAATTTTTGATCGTGCTAGGATTTCTAATTTATTAAAAATCGCTCTATGTCCCCCAATCTATGATCCTGTGCTTTTCCCTATTGCTTTGAACTTTTGGTCTTCTGAATATAATACTTTTATCTTCCCACTTAGTCCAATGTCCATTACTCTGAGGGATGTTAGAGCCTTAGTTAATCTTCCACCCTTGGGCGATACCATTTTTCTTGCCATTTTGGTTACTGCTGCTGCCCCAAAATTTGACAAGAGATATACTGATTCTTATTCGGGTATGCAAGAACTTTATAAAATTCTAGTGCTAAATCTAACCATGCTATGCTAAGCGTGTTGCCTTTCTTCAAGTTTGGCTTTGTAAATATGTTCTTTGTGTACCTGATCGTTTGATTTCCCGTAAGTGAACGGGGTCGTGATCAAGTAATATAGTAGTGTGTAAAGTGTCGAACCCACGAGGACTACGTGTTTGATCGAGTTAAAATTAATAATACCCTTAATCGAATAGCAATAATAGTTTATAATAACTCTATATCTAATTTATCACGTAATAGAAATTAAAATAAAAGTTTATCAAATTATTGAGATGCATTGCTAAGATCTAGAATCCCCCTTGTTAATCCACTTTTAGTATAACAATTAAATTGACAATTTGTTATCATACGAGTTGGTCAAAGTTTCAAATTTATTTAAAAGTCTCTCTCGATAGCAATTAAATCTATTCCCCTCATGATAATAATAATTGATGAATAATGGCTTATAATATGTGCATCCCCAGTTCCCAATATATATTCTGCTGTCCTCTATTTGTAGCAGTCGAAAATTGGTAGAAAATCACGTCCAAATTGACTTCCAAAAGAGTTCTAATCGGATAAGGAAAGTTGCATTCGCGCGCAGATTTTTTGTCTCTGCACAGCGGTCAGTATTTTGGCCATAACTTTCTCGTCCGATATTCGATTGAAGCGATTCAAAGTGCTGTAGAAAAATAACTTAAAGAGCTATAACTTTAGTAGAAATATAAATTTCTCAATTAGGACATTTACAATACCAAAAATGGGTCTCAATTTTCGACTAAAAATCTGGAATATAACTTGTGCGATTGGATATTGATTGTGATAAATTTCATTCCTCTTTGAATTCTAATTCCACCCAATTGTCTCCTAAACATCTTCAAAGCATCATCTTGTGATCCAAATCAACTATTGAATTTGCAATTTGATCCTCAAACTTTAAATTGTGCAATTTTCACCATTTTTCGCTTCTTTCTTTCCATTCCTTGTCCAACCATTGAGTTTTACCTATATAAATAAAAATACAAAAATTTAGGACATATTTTGTGAAAAGAACTATCAAATATTGTTATTTTGACCCCGAATAAGTGTATAAAATACACTTATCAAATACTCCCAAACTTGAACATTTGTTTGTCCTCAAACAAAATTATAACCTAAATAATAACAAACACATAAACATGGAAAAACAATATTTGGTTAGACAATCTAACTTTTTATCTTAGTGTTTGAAATTACAGTACTAAATCTACAAACTGTTTCAAAATCACAATACCAAACCAATATCTACTCTTCCAATGCAAAATCGACGTGTGCATGTGAAGAAATAAGTAGACAATCATGACTTTATAAGTTGCTTCGGTTCCCGACCCTTTGTGGTCAAATATATCCTTTCACCCCTCGTATGATTTACACACCCCCAAACTTATTTATTTTTCACTCTTTTCCCAGTGTGTAATCTAAGGTTGAATTTTTAATCACTATCCTTACCCACTCTAGTTCAGGTGGACTTTACCAATTGCAAGTCAACACATCAATAAATAAGGATTCTCCAATTCTTTGATTGCTTCGACATCCAAGACTCAATTAGGCTAATTATCCTCCATCAAAAGTCAAATTCCCTCAAACAAGTGTTTGGAGCGTAACCAAGGCATTTAGTGCTATTTGATTTTTTTTTTTCCTTCGGATTTTCAAATGCTTTTTTTTTTATTTT